ATTGAATCTTAACCTATCTGACGATCACGGATGTCTAGTAGATGTTTGAATTTTAATTTTTTTTTCTACAAATCCAAGTCACTTGAAATTTTAGGCGTGTGTTCTTCTCATCAAGCCGCACCTAATAAAAATATATAAAAAAAAAAATCCGCAAAAAAACAATTGACCAAACTACCCCTCGAAAATTTACAGGGTTATTTTGGTTAATTTTTTTATGTAAAACATTTTTTTTTATATTTTTTGAAGATTCACCTATGTTTGATGAACACACACCTAAAATTCCAAGTGATTTGGATTTGTAGAAAAATAAAATAAAATTCAAACACTATTGGGTATCTGCGATCGTCAGATCGGCCCAGATTCAATCTCGGCCGTTGGGCTCATTTTTTCTTGTGAGCCCATTGGCTCACAAGATCATTTTCCATATATATATATATATATATATATATATCAAGCATTCATGCATCATCCAATAAATACATACGAAAATGGGAAACATGCTAGAGCAAAAGAACTGACGACCTTGTCTTTGTTCAGTATAATCAAAGGTTGAAGGACTACCATCTAGATGGCAATGTAATCAACTTCATTATTGTCAGACATAAGGATGATACATTGAAGTGGTTGGTCACTGCTGAAGACAATCCAATATCTTTAAAGAGAACTTGACCTAGGGTAAGTTCACAAAGCTACTGGAAGGCAATTGAGCCCCGTATGGACCACTAGATCTCAATCTCAAAGGAATTGGTTGAAGAAGGAATTGGTTGAAGAGGGGAAGGGTGAGGGTGAGGTTGAGGAGGCAAACACAGAGGAGACTAGAGAAGAAGAAGAATATATGGAGGAAGGAGGATGACTTTGATGATGATGGCTTAAGATCATTATCACATACAAATACATTAGGTATGGTCGTAGGGTTGGGGACATTGTTGGTAGAGATGATGAAACTCAATTAACAATTTGAGTCCATTGGATTTGTTGTATTCCTTTGATTTTTTAGTTTTTTGGTTAAGACTTCAATTATTTCAAGATTTGATTTTTGTTGAGTTGTGACCTTTTGTTTGTTGCTAATGATGCAATGATGATGTAAATTGTTGGCTTCATTGTTTTAAAATGCGGCTGCATAATGCGCTATGCGCCCCGAAGCGCATCGCGTAGGGGAGCATATGCGCTGCATAACTCGTGGGCCAAAAATAGTGCCCACGAAAACACAAAAAACAGCAATAAATGTGGTCGTTTTTGGATCAAACAAAGAGGTAAAAAAGTTGACAGAAATTTTCTTTAAAAAATTGTCAATTTGCTCTTGACATTGGTTTGTTTTCGACTGGCATTAGCTTGGGCGGTGTTTTGAAGAACTCTAAGCATAGATTCGTCAACATATCGAGGGTTTCAAGGGCGGAGAAGATATCAAAATTTTTTTCTTTGGAGTTTTTAACTTTAGATTTTGCAATTGTGAATTTGAAGATATAAAAAAAAATTTGCTTTGGAGTTTGTAACTTTAGAGTTTGCAATTGTGAATTTGTGATTATGGTTTTGGATGTTTATGGATTATGATAATATGATGTCTTCTATAAAGTTAGTTTCAAGTTTCAAGTTTCTAGTTTCTACTTTATATTTCTAATGTCTTCCATCAGGGGATTTAAATTTCAGAGTCTCTGATAGCTAATAATATTGGAGTTAATGAATAAATTTAATATCTACTATCACATAAATTACCTCCATATTGTTTTCCATGCATTAACCTATTTTTTGAGATTTTTTTGAATTTTTTATATTTATTGACCGCATTGGGGTGATGCATCTGCATCTGGACCGCATTGAGCCACATCACCGCATCAGCCTCCCGACCGCATCGGGACCGCATCTTGTATTTGTAAACACTGGTTGGCTATGGAACTATGGCATATTGGCATCTAATGACAGATCAGCTACATGAAATGGTTTTTGTGACTTTTCTTTGTGGTGTAATGGATGACTTTTAGGCAACTTTCAATCTTCTATAGTTTTAGTGATTCAATTTAAATTTCAAGCTCATGTATGTATGAGTTTGAAATAGCACATCGGGACCGCATCTTGTATTTTTAAACACTGGTTGGCTATGGAACTATGGCATATTGGCATCTAATGACAGATCAGCTACATGAAATGGTTTTTGTGACTTTTTTTTGTGGTGTAATGGATGACTTTTAGGCAACTTTCAATCTTCTATAGTTTTAGTGATTCAATTTAAATTTCAAGCTCATGTATGTATGAGTTTGAAATAGCACAATTACATAATAACTCTGTGAATCACATTTTTTTTCAAAAATAAAAGAGTTTGAAGTTTAATTAAGGGGGTTGGGTATTGAGCCCAATCACCTCTTTTCTCTATATGGACCGTCTAGTTCTCTAGGTGTTTGCCTAGGGGGCCTAATCCGCCTTTTTGAACACCGAGTACAACTAGTTGAGAACATTGAGTCACCAACAAATTTCCTAGATTGGAATTCTAACTTCACAAAGAAAACACAATGGGACTGAAAAAAAAAAAAAAACTCCTTCGACACAAAAGTTCTATGCCTAGCATAGAAGTGATTAAATGATGCATAAGCATGCAATGAAAAATAAAGTAAAATGACGTCAGACTTGTGCCAAGCAGCATGATCTTCTATTCAATGAGGATGGTTTTAGAAACTCTTATTAGTTGGTAATTCTCTTGGTTTTAGCGGTATGAGATGAGGTTCCAATGGCTAAAAAATTTGGCTATTCATCTTCTAGCATTTGTTCCCATGAGAAGGCAAGATGGAGATAAACATATTTTGCTGTTCATAGTCTTAAACGTGGAATCCGCGCAACTAGAAAAGGATTCCTAGCAGTGATGGGATGGATACCTTTTAATTTTGTATAGGAAAATGAATATTGTGTTTCAGTTTTGTCACTGATGAAGTACAGTTACCAATAAAATAAAATAAAATAAAGATGTGGTTGGACCTTTATTTTCAGTAAAGATTCCTGAATAACCGAGCTCAATAGCCCAAACCAAGAAACAATCCTGTTTTGTTCATTTGAACTTTCCAAAATGTTTTAGTAAAAATGTTAATAAGCAAAAAAAACAAAAAATCAACTAACCCCCACCCTCCAAAATCATTCAACAGGGCATTCTACAGTTTTAACATTGTTTTGCTCATTCAGCAGGGCATTCAACAAAATTGACAGATTTAGAGAGAAATCATTCTGCATGGCATTGTACACATTTAACAGAAAATTTACAGCATTTATACGTCATAAACAATGGTAACTTAGAGAGAGATACCTTCTGTTCTTCACTTCTTCGTGCGTGTTAGAGACAGATTGTCTAAAACCCTAGGGTTTTAGCGAGAGAGAGACGGTGAGGGGCTTTTCGAAACCCCGCGCCCCGCGCAATTGCTTGCATGTCAAGCACGAATTAAGCGCTAAACGAAAGGTTCAAAAGTTTTCATGCGTCCTAGGACTCACATGTACATATAAGTCCCCTCTTTATGATCTATTTTTGACGGATTTTGGATTTTGGAAAAGATGTATACGCCCTCTAACTTTAATGAGTTTAATCCAAATGCTTTTAGAACCCTTTGAAGTTAAAAAAATGTTGACTACCAAATCATTATTCTTTGGCCAAATTGCAGTATTTACTATCCACTTTTTTAAATCACCATATTATTTAAGGCTTAAAAAGCTCCCCTCTCTCACCCGTGAACCTCTTCTTCCATCTCTCTCTCTTTCTTTTTTTTTTTTTTTTTAACCATATCCTCTTCTTCCATCTCTCTCTAGCAAACTTTCATGAATATTTATTTATTTTTATCTCATTTTATTAACCTTGCAAGTTAAAAGAGACATCACAAACTTCATTTATATAATGAGGTTATTAGAAAAAAGAAGGGTAAATATTGTAATTTGGATAATAAAAAATATCGGAGGAGGTTAAACATCTTTTTTTTTTTTTTTAACTTGAGGGGTTCTATAGGCTATTTATAAAACAAGGGGTTATAGATAATATTTCTATAGCGTATATGTTATTTTTCCTCAACTTTTTGGGTATTTATATGATCTCTAACCTGGAGGTAATGAATGTGTAAAAAGAAATAAACTTTGAATACTAAAAATGATGATCTTTCGAAAGAAGATTTCAAGCTGTTGATTTCACGTTTTCTTGGAGAGACCCAACTCCACGTCCATCTTTAAGATGGATAGGTGATGCCTTTTGGAGACGAAAATGTAGTGGAAAATATTTTGATAGGGCTGTAGTTTTATTAAAATAAGCAAAGCCTCACCTCATAACTCACTGCAGATAGTTGTTTTAAAGTCGTAAAACCTTTAAATTATTCGTCTCGACCTTGACCATTATAGTGGTAAAAAAAAAAAAAGATTCAAAGCCCTAAAAATAATGTAAATTGTAACACATTATCTAAACCATCCACTTCATCTTAAAAATAAATGTTCACGGACCCCCAAGATCTATATGTTTTTTTACTTTCAAATTTCATAATCAATATTGAAAATTGGTTTTACAGCCATTATGGAGATTATTGATGCTCAAAATGCTTTTCAGAAGAAGCTTAATGGTGAGGCTATACTTTATTTTCATAAAGCTTAGGCCTTGTAGAAAGTGTATCCTTCCCAATAACATTCAAGGCTTAAGTCTCCTGCAATTAGTGGTAAAGCCAACACATGCTTGACATGCATGGATATGGATGCCCATTCTATGCACATGACTTCAACATTGGAATTTTGGAATTCCAGGGTTGTCATTTTGGTTTGTACTATGTAGAGGCTCACATGTAAACAGCTCTTTTTCTCTCTCACTCTTCCCCCCAACGAAGCTCCATCACCTTCAAGCTCTAATAAAAGCATTAGAGAGTAAAGTGAACCTTGGCTATAGCTTAACCAAGGCTCCAAGCAATTATCAAGTTTGATGGCTGGTGAAGATCAGCCTGCACAGGAATTTTGTATAAGAAGCGTATCCAATTCTGCAATACCATCTAAATACTAAAAAAGTCTTATGAAATGAGCTTATTGCAATCTGCCTAGGATCACATATTTAAGAAAAAGGGAAGTTTTGTCTTTTAAAAAAAGAAAAGAAAAAATACAAGCTAGTGCTAAAAAATTTGTGATCTAGATCATGAATCGGTGGGAAAGAAATTTGTGATCTAGATCATGAATTAGTGGGAATCAAATGGGTTATGGCGAAGTATCTGAACCAGCCCCCAAAACCTCCCCTTATTTCAAAGTTAGAAAGATGTTAAAGACTGCTTAGGGTCCACTCCACCTACACTCACTACAAAATATTTAAGTCTCTTCGGAGACGTTCGATAAAATTGAAAATTAAATGTTTTTTTGTTTTTATTTGGGAAATTATCGTAAATATAATTTAACTAATTTAAGTTTAATTGGAAAAAAAAAACCCCAAAACTTTTGTTTATCTCATATGCACCATATTTTCTCATTTTTTGGTTTTTTTTTACCAAAATGACCTTCACGGTAATAGTATTACCATAATAGTTAGTGCATGTTATACGGTACTTTAAGTACCGTAATACTTAAAGAATTTTATACGATACCTTTAGTACCATAATAATGAGGGCATTTTATATGGTACTTTAAGTACCATAAACTTACACTAACCCTTATACGGCATTTTAAGTATCGTAAACACTGACTCATGTTACACGACACTTAAAATGCCGTAAATCATTTTCTCATTCTTTTTATCTCTTTCATCTCTAATTCTTTTATGTTTACCTATTCTTTTTCACTCTCTAATTCTTTTTAATATTTATCTCTTCTTTCTTTCTAATTATTTTTTATCTCTTCTTTCTCTCCCTACAATGTCATCTTCGTTTCCTTAGAGAAAAAAAGAAGAGATAAACATAAAAAGAATTAGAGATGAAAAATATAAATATAAACAAAATGAAAAAATGATTTACTACATTTTAAATGCCGTATAAGAGGGTTTTAGTTTTTACGGTACTTAACGTACTGTAATTGGCTTTACGGTCATGGTTTACAGAATTTAAAGTATCGTAATATTACTTGAAGTTACTACGGTATTTTAAATACCGTATAAAATGATATGTATTACGAAAGTAAGACTACCGTGAAGGTCATTTTGGTAAAAAAAAAACCAAAAATAAAGAAAAAAAGTGTAGACGAGATAACAAAAGTTTAAGAGTTTTTTTCAATTAAGCTTAAATTAAAATACATTTGCAATAATTTCCCTTCAGCCATCTAGAAACTAAATACAGCTAGTTCATTTAAGGGGAGTTTTTTACATCCATATGATTAGATCATGTTAAGGTGTTTTAATTCAAATTAAAGCTCACCTAAAAAATTTACTGATGCTAAAGAATCTTGATCATATCAACTTCCAGAGATTTATGGAGATAAGAAAAAATGGATTTCAAGTCTTGAAAATAATGCATCTTGTAATGCATTTTTTAAACCTTCAATTTTCAAGATTCTCAAGTGTGCATATCTATGTTTGATTTACACTATTTTTTAATCTCTAAATTTTATAACTAGAGATGAAAACAAATTTTAGGCCATCATAAAGATTTCCAGTTCTGAAATAATACCTTTTCTGTACTATTTGAAAATACCTTTCGACACTATTTCAAAGTATGCCTTACCTTAATTGTTTAGGGCCTAAGCCTTAAACAAACCACACCCATAATTATAAAATCTTAAAAAAATAAAACAACACAAACAATAAAAAAATGTGTGAAAAATAAAACACAACATAAACCAGTTGAGTGATCTGATTCACTATGATAAGAAGTACAACAAAGAATTAGAGAAATTTTAAAAACGTTAAAAGCATATTGAAAATAAAACAAACAGGTTTGACATCGGCCCAGACGATTGTCATTCCAAATTGGGCAATTTCAATCCACATCGCCGAATTTTCAAACCTTGGTTTGATGCATCCATTATAAAATCAAAACCACTATTTATTGACAATATTAATAAAATAGTAAAAGATCAACAATGGTTCCATTACTATATTCTCTCCCTATACTTTTCGATATGAATAGAAGGCAAATTTACTGATGGGCCCAAAACAATTTTCAGAATTAAAAACAGTCTGTATTTTGGGATGGTGATGGCCAACACCTTCAAGCTCCGAACTGCCCAAAAAGAAAAATGAAAGTATATATACTTTCAAAACGCTCAAAATACACAAAAAAAAAAAAATATTTGAGAGGCCTAATAATACAACCAATAACTGAGAGGGAACTGTCCTCAGCTGAAGTTGCATTTCCAGTACTTGAGTGTGGAAAGGTGCATCTCATCCGTTGGTGTTGACAACATACGGTTGGAGGCAATATGATATACTCTGTGTTTCATTACGTCAGCGCCAATACTCTGAGAGAGAGAGAGAGAGAGAGAGAGAGAGTTAAAAAACATATACACTGTCAATTAATAATGAGTCAGGGACTAGGAACAAGGATAGGGTGGCAGTCATTAATGATCAGAAACACTGCATCTTAAGTTTGTTTCCTATAGCTGAACCACCAAAATATATGATTTTAGAATGTTAATTCATTTTTTCTTAGAACCCTATAGCTGAACCACCAAAATATATGATTTCAGAATGTTAATTCATTTTGTCTTAGAATAATCAAAGACCTTGCAATATGCTAGGGATTTCTGATTCTTCAATTTCTTTTTCCTTTGAAACTAATCCATACGTGAAAACCTGTTAAGTCTCCATCCGTTTTGAGAACAAATCTGATATATTTAACCATGCATTCCTTTGTGATAGACCCACCAGGAGATGGCCCCCAATATTTCACTCCAACCAAATCAAATTCAGGGGGCCATTCGAATTCAGACATCAAGTAATCTTATACTCCAATATCCCTTGTTATATTCCATTGAAATTAAAACTGTCACAATGAGCAGGGGCGCCTTGGTACTGGTTGCTGCCTACCATCAGGTATTGCCATTAGAACCATGGGTTTTGAGGGTTTGAGGAAAGGGACATCACACCTGTAATAACCTTTCCTTTCGAGCTGCAATATCTCACCGCACTTAAGGTTGCGCATGTTTGAATCACCAAGGGTTGGTATCTCCCACTTTGTGCAAGGGTTAAGAGCGTCAAGAAAATCTTCATCTTCATCAAGCTGTATCACACCAATAGAAAATTTCAATCAGATAGAAAAAAAAAAAAAGGAAGGGTGGATCGCATTACTTGACAGTGTTTTGACGAAATTAATTAAAGGAAAAAGTTTATATAAGGATGCTACCTATATAATGTAGAACTACAGATGCCCCTAAAAAATCCATACTAAAAGGTAGTTTTAATGTTGAAAAACCCTTTGATTGATCATCTCGACATCGAGATGTATGACTATGAAAATAAAAAGATTTGAAGTCTTAGAAATACTGCATTTTACAACATATTATCTACACCGT